AACTCTGAGAAACGATATATGAGGGCTTCCATACAGTTATACAACAGTTTTATGGGAGGTCTTGCGGTTGGTTCTTGTGTCTCTTCCAAAGAGTTCGCCAGTTGGCTTGATGTGGGTCAAAACTTAAAACCACTGTGGTGGGGCTTCCCTGGTGGCGCAGTGGGAGTCCGCCTGCCGATGCAGGGGACACGGGTTCGTGCCCCGGTCCGGGAAGATCCCACATGCCGCGGAGCGGCAGGGCGCGTGAGCCATGGCCACTGAGCCTGCGCGTCCGGAGCCTGTGCTCCGCAACAGGAGAGGCCACAGCAGTGAGAGGCCCGTGTACTGCAAAAAAAAAAAAAACCCAAAAAAACAAGAAAAAACAAACCACTGTGGTGGTTTTACTGTCTTTCCAGTAGACATTAGAATCTCACTTTCCATTCATTCAGGGAGTCGACTGAATGTCCTGGGAAGTAAGCGGGATAAAGCATGTTGATATGGGTGTCACAAATCTCTTAACTTCCCTGCTTATTGTCCTGGTAAGCTATATGCTCTGTATTTCAAGCCAACATTACATGAACACAGAAAAAATTGGCAGAATGAACAGTGCATGTGAGTACAAACATCAGTTCTTTAGCCAAAAAGAAAGTATCTTCTTCATAAAACATTACAAGTCCTTTTGGTTTTTTAGAATCTGTATATCATACTTTACATTAGGAAAGCTTCCAGTAATTATCTAATCAAGTCAGAAAAATATGTCATCAGCTTGAGGCCTTACCCACGTTCTCTTGCTCACATTTTTAAAAAAATTTTGTTGAAGTATAGTTGATTTACATTTACAATGTTGTATTAATTTCTGCCGTACAGCATAGCGATTCAGTTATGCATATATCAATATATATTTGTTTTCATATTCTTTTCCTTTCTGGTTTATCACAGGATATTGAATATAGTTCCCTTTGCTATACAGTAGCCCCTTGTTGTTTATCCGTCCTATAAATAGTAGTTTGCTAATCGCAAGCTCCCAGTTCTTCTCTCCCTCACCCCCTCTCCCCCTTGGCAACCACAAGTCCATTCTCTGCCTATGAGTCTGTCTCTGTTTCATAGATATGTTCATGTCATATTTTAGATTCCACATATGAGTGATATATGGTATTTGTCTTTCTCCTTCTGACTTACTTCGCTTAGTATGATAATCTCTAGGTCCATACATGTAGCTGCAAACAGCATTATTTCATTCTTTTTTATAGCTGAGTAGTACTCCATTGTACATGTATACCACATCTTCTTTATCCATTCATCTGTCGATGGACATTTAGGTTATTTCCATGCCTTGGCTATTATAAATAGTGCTTCTACGAACATAGGGGTGCATGTATCTTTTCGAATTATAGCTTTGTCTGGGCATATGCCCAGGAGTGGGATTGCTGGATCATACGGCAACTCTATTTTTAGTTGTTTGAGGAACCTCCATACTGTTTTCCATAATAACTCCACCAATTTACATTCCCACCAACAGTGTAAGAGGGTTCCCTTTTCTTCACACCCTCTCTAACACTTATTATTTGTAGACTTCTTAATTATGTCCATTCTGACTGGTGTGAGGTGGTACCTCATTGTAGTTTAGATTTGCATTCTTGATCACATTTTGGGTGTGACTCTTTGGATTGGCCCAAGTGCTACTCTTACCTGACCGAACGCTTTTCATGGGAGAGGGCGTGGTACGGAAGTACAGCAGCAGCCACTTTGGCTGTAGGGACCAATTTCCTGATCCGGGACTTTGGGTTGTAAGTACATAAAGGAATTTATTATAAATGTTACTGGGTATCTCAAAGGATCAAAAGCAAAGGGAAATGTCAGTATTTAAGAAGGGTCACGGTGTAACTAGGCTTAAAGAAATCCTGTCAGCGGGATCACACTCACAGTACCAGAACTTCTCTATCTTTCTTCTTTGTTTCCCTGAACGATGGCTTCCTTCTTTCTTATCACTGCAGATTGACAGAAAACATGACTGCTGTTGATATTCTAGCTTTATATCTTAGAGCTTCAGCCACACAGAGTGAGGCTGACCTTTTCAATTCCAATTCCAAAATCCTGGAGAAAAGCACTGCTTGGGTCAGATTAGCTGGGGCACAGAGGCAGAAAACCACTTGGATCCATGTAGCGAGATGCCCAGTCAACCACTGCCTACAAGCAGTATCATATTGTACTAATACGTTGGTTCCAGTGGTTTAAAAAAAATTGGGTGGGGCAATTCTCAGCAGAAGAGGTGCCAGCCTGGCTATTCCATAGTTGCCCGATATTGCATGGATATACTGTAAAAATAATGCAAGGAAGTACATAGTTCTAGCTTCCCATTTGCCAGCAAATGCTGCCCATGGTCCTTGAGAATCTCCCTTTAAAGCTCTTCATTCCTCATTAGAGAGTTCAGGTTGGTGGGATGGCTGGAGCTGGTGGGGGAGGGGAAGATGATTGCACATGAAAGGAGCAGAGCAGAGAGTGGAGAAAGAGGACGCATCAAGGAAGCATCGCCAACATGAAGCAGAGGGCTCTGGACCTCCCAGCTCTTTTCAGATTAAATCCTTATGGCTCTCCCAGCTGCCTTTCTTCCCTCCTGCCTTACACCTCTTTTTAATATTTTCTCTCATCATTTTTAAAATGAAGACCTTCTGTGTTGCTTATAAGACTTCTTGTCCTCCTCCAGAGAAGCAGTGCTCCACGTTAGGCAAAAGTTCAAAGTAATGCAGAGTTTGTCTCTTCAGAAAAGTGCTTTCCCATGTCTTCTTGTTCTTTTTCTTAGAATAACAAAATCTGAGGATTGGAGTAAACCAAGCTTGAGGTCCCTCAAATCCTTCCATTGCCGTGTACGTCCATTTCTGGCATCCATGATGAGTGGCCATCCAGACCGCTTGACCACATACCAAAAGGAACTCACACTCTTCAAGAGAGTCCATTCTATCTTCAGATAGTTCAGATTATTAGAAGTACTTCCTCGTATTAAGCTCCCACTGAGCCAAAAATGTGTCTTTCCTTGTTGCTTGAACCTGTTGGTCCTAGTTCTACCACCTGGAAACAAACAGAAAAGTCTAATCTCTTTCCTACATGCTCATTTTTCAAAAGATCCATCATGTTCCTCATGTTTGTCCCTAAGCTCTTTCTTCTCCAGGCTGAGCAGCTGTTCATCCTATATCTGTTCTCCGTTGTATGGGATTTCAAGTACCTCTATTAATCAGGACACTCTGTCCTAAAAGCTTTACTTACTTAAATGTTCTTCTTTGTTTCCCCCCTATACCCAGACATACTCTTCCAGATGTGAAAAAATCAGCCCAAGAAAAACAGAACTAATAATGTCTTTTATTATAAATATAGAACTTCTATCCAGGAAAATCACATTTATCTTTTAGGAAGACCAAACCTATGCTTAGTCACTCTCATGCTGAAAATTATATAATAATTAATTTATGATGAAATTTAAATGACAAAGAGTATTTAAGTTTTACAAGTGAATTTCAGGCATCAGTAGTTGGAATGGAAAGGAGGTGGGGGGAATTCATGAATTCCCATAGTTCTTCAAAGCAGATTCTGCTTTACTTCCTATATACAAATGCTAGTACTATTCATTAGGTCGAAAATAGTGGGCAAAATAAGACCACATCAGGGGATCATTTAATTCCTTTCTTCCTCTTCATAAAATCCATAATCTTAACAAATATTTGTGTCCTGGTTACATACACATGTGTGCACACCCACATGCTGCGGAGCGGCTGGGCCCTTGAGCCATGGCCGCTGAGCCTGCGCGTCCGGAGCCTGTGCTCCGCATCGGGAGAGGCCACAGCTGTGGGAGGCCCGCGTGCTGCAAAAAAAAAAAAAAAAAAAAAAAAAAAAGAGGTCACCATGTTGGATTGGGTGGCACAGTGGGTTAATCTGAATAAATTCTTAACGTTATTGTTCCAGAAGCTCAGCTAGAAGCAGAACCCAAATAAGGGAGATGGAGTGAAGTTTGATGGGTCAATCAGAGAAGCTCCAGCTTTCTCTAGGATATTAAATGTATATCCTAAAATAGGAACACGTTGAGTCCTGCCTTTATCTGTAGCCACTTATGGGTTCACCAGGGAAACTGATTATCTCAGAAAATGATGCAGAATATTCTCTTCTGTTGAAATATTTTCAGGTTTAAAGGAGGGTATAGCATATATATATGTAAAGATTCCAGGACAGACAAATGTAAAATTTTGAATCTTAAATTTTAATGAGAAGTAAGTGGTGACTTTTTATAAAACTTATCATAAGCATATGGCACTCATTCTTTTTTTTCCTAAAAGTGTCTGAATATGTAACCATGAGTCCCTCAATATTGGCAACAATAGCTGTCCCATGCCCTGTGAGATTGCATATCAGCAGGGGAGTTTGACATTTCTTCTGTCAGCAGCGTATGTCCCTGTAATTAGCCCTCCCTGACCTTCTTCCATCTCCACCAAGGAAGTTAAAAAAATTATGACTAATTCAGGACAGAGCTGGGAGCCCTAGTTCCACAGCCATAGAGCTTGTTAGTTCCCCTGTGTTAGTAAACCTAAAATTGAGGTTTTCATCTCCTGGTTAGCCTCAGAAGTTTCAGTCTAGTGGGCTTAGGTATAGCACTAACCTCATTTGGTGATCACAGGGAGGAAATGCAAGACGGTAGACAGCTTGAGGCTACTACCAACCACACAACTGGAAAAATAAATTCAAGATTCCTTAGATTAAGGAGGGCTGACTTTAGCTTTAAGGTACAACTCATGATTATGTTTAGCAACTTACCTAAGGGGTTCCAGTCTCAGTGTCATTTATTCCTCTTCTGAATGTCATAGTAGATATCATAATCTCTTCACTTTAGAATTAAAACAAAGGAAGATTTCACGACTGATGTGCTACATTGAATAATTGGGAATACTTTAAGATTAGTTGCTTCATCCATAAACAACAGCACAATCACCTGTTTCCTAATTCCCTTACTTATATAAATCTTTTTATTTCTCCAATAGGTTGTTCGGTTTTTACAAGGGAATTCTGCCACCCATCTTGGCTGAAACACCAAAAAGAGCAGTGAAGGTAAACATTGTATGCCTTCCCACCAACTGAAAATAGACTGTAGTAAGAGCTTCAGCATCAACACATCCCACCATAAATGATGGGACATTAATGGAAATTAAACATAAAATACTAAAACTTCTAAAATTTTTAAAAATCTTGAATTTTTTAAATTGTAACAATTTTTATCATAATTAGACTTGGTCAGTCTCTCAAATATTGCTATGTTGATTTGTGGATTATTTTTTTCCAGGTAAAGGCATTCCCTTCTAATGGGGAAATTATACAAAAAGCACAGTGGTGAATGAAAGTCATGTAATCAAACCACAGCAGCCACAAAAGAGCTTGGACTTTTTCTCAAGGCAATTCATAACTTTGCCTTTGGAGCAATAATTATTAAAGAAAGAGAGAGGGAGAGGAGAGGAGAGAGGCGAGGTAGAAAAGCCTTTCTCCTTAAATCATTCTCATTTTATGAACAGAGCACACTAAGACATTATATTTCTTTGTGTATGATTCTCATATAGCACATTTATTTGGTGTGCTAACTTCATTTTTCCCCCTGGTCTCCTCTGTTAAAATTCTCTATTCTGGTTTTCACAAAATCATTACTTCCACTACACTCATTTCCATTCTTTTTTTTTTTAACATCTTTATTGGAGTATAATTGCTTTACAATGGTGTGTTAGTTTCTGCTGTATAACAAAGTGATTCAGCAATATGTACACATATTATCTCCTCCCTCTTGCGTCTCCCTCCTACCCTCCCTATCCCGCCCCTCTAGGTGGTCACCGAGCTGATCTCCCTGTGCTATGCGGCTTCTGCATAATCTTATAACTATGGACATTTATGTACTACCTGCTGGTTCAGTATCTGGATAAGAACATGGAGATCTAGCAGGACCTCTGGGGAGAAAGAACTAAATCTGATCGTGCTTTTATAAGTTCTTTCAGACAAAAGTCCTGATCCCAGTGGCTCTGACTGGCATTGCCCCTCCCCCCACACCACTGACATCACCAAATATGGCTTTGTCTTTCCATAATAAGGATAACATAAACTTAGACTGAAAGACTTCCTTTCCAGCTAATGACATAAAGTTTTTTTCACATACATTACTCAATTTGTGTTCCCAACATTCCTGAAAGGTAAGAAAAACAGCTTATATACTTATATCAGTTAATTAAGAGGGTGACTGAGTTAAAAATTATGATTAAAAAAACCCAACATATATACACAGACACCAGACTTTTACATCCTGTGAAAATGGTGATTTAATAGGATATAATTCAGGTCTAGAATTCAGAAAGCAAAGCTTTAAAACATGCTTTCTCTGTAAATTCATCCTCTTCGTTGCCATAGTTTTTGTGATTTTATATTATTACTTCAATACAAATTTCATTATAAGGATCTGAATCAAAAAAAAAAAAAAAAAAGAAAGAAAAGGATCTGAATCGCAATAGAGAATCTGGAAAAAGTTCACCAAAGTACACAAGAGGGCTGAGTTGAATTATGAAATGGCTTCACTTGATAAAAGATTGCCCAAGTAAACAAACAGAGCATAGTTCCTGTTCAAAAGGAAAGTCACTTTGTCTCCATGGAATTATATATTCATTTGTTCAGAGTTTTACGTGTATAAATAAAGTAAACTATAATTAGTTTTTCATGGAATACTTTTTCTTAATACTGTATGTTGGAGACAATTTAAACTTTAAGAAGATTAAGGTTTATCAATGTTGAACAGTCTTTTACGGAAGAAAAAAAAACTTGAGCTTTACAAAACTGAATTAGTCTCTACTTAAAAAAAAGCAATGCTCCCTGCCAGAACAATGGTTAACAGATGAACTTCTGGGCAACTGGATATGGTGTATGTGTCCCAGACATGTTGTTTCAAGTAGATTTTACCTTAAAATTATTGAGACATATGGTAAGTACGTTGGCTTTTTAAGTATAACTTCGAGTTTAGTGTATCTTTGCCAGATGGATAGCACTAGTTTTTCAGCACAATTTATGAAAACACTCATTTTATAGATACTTTATCTTAGTATTTGTGAGGAAAATGATCATCTGATTGCAACAGTTTCATACATCATAAACTGCTTCATTGTATGTCATCAAAGTTTACTTTGAAAAAATATTCAGAGACCATAGATATATACACACACATACATACGTATATATGCTCTCTGAATATTATGTGTGTGTGTGTATATAAACAGACAATGTCTAGAAACAGATAATGTTGTTTTTTCTGTACTTTATTCTTTGAAATGAGATTCATCATTAAAATAATAAGATCCATTTATGCTAAATTAATGAAACTTCCCTTTTCACAAATGAAGACAGAATTAGTATTGTAGTTAGCAAAAAGAAATGAAGACCTCAGAAAGAGACCAGCTGTTTACTCAGGGATGGCAGGAACAACGTGCCAGGTTCCAGGATCTAGTCTTGAGCTTCACAGGTCCAGAAACACCATTATTCCATGGTCAGATTCTCAAGGACTGCTTAATGCTAACCAAACTCATGAAAGATTATATTGATATACTGTGAAGTCTATTTGTTCACCACTGTATTTCCAGCCAAGATGAAGTCACAGGGACCAGATTTTCTCTCCTGCCTGAAACAGCAAGAACAGAAAATGAACAACATATATGAAACCACAATTTTTAAGACACTGGACATAAGACAAGGCGGGAGAGTCATACCTGAGATGGAAAACAAATGAGATGAGCCCTATGGATTGCCCCAGGTCACTGGCTTGAGAGAGTTTCCAGGGACACACAGGAGAAATCCAGTTGACTCCCTCAACCAGTGGACTCCCTGGGTTGAGAAGGAGCTGAGAGGCCAGGGAGGGCAAGGCACCTAGAGCTCCCAGGCCATAGCACCAGAGAAGGAGAGAGCTGCACAGAGAGAGACACCTAAGGTCTGCAGAGGGATGTCTCAAGTATTCAGCTGACCTGAGCACATATGAGGAAACAAGCAAGGCCTGGAAACAGCTGTCCGAAGGATTCAAGGGATCAGTGCCGGGCAGTCATGCGGGGCTGGGAACAGTGTCTGTTCCCACCAGCCAAACTGGGAGGCCTCAAAATGCACAGGGTGGAAGAGACCTTCAAGATGGCGGAAGAGTAAGACATGGAATTGACCTTCCTCCCCACAAATACATCAGAAATACATCTACACGTGGAACAAGTCCTACAGAACACCTACTGAACGCTGGCAGAAGACCTCAGACTTCCCAAAAGGCAAGAAACTCCCCACGTACCTTGGTAGGGCAAAAGAAAAAAGAATAAACAGAGACAAAAGGATAGGGACGGGACCTGCACCAGTGGGAGGGAGCTGTGAAGGAGGAAAGGTTTCCACACACTAGGAAGCCCCTTCGCTGGCGGAGACAGGGAGTGGCGAGGGGGAAGCTTCGGAGCCACGGAGGAGATCGCAGCAACAGGGGTGCGGAGGGCAAAGCGGAGAGATTCCCGCACAGAGGATTGGTGCCGACCAGCACTCACCAGCCCGAGAGGCTTGTTTGCTCAACCGCCAGGATGGGTGGGGGCTGGGAGCTCAGACTCGGGCTTCGGAGGTCGGATCCCAGGGAGAGGACTGGGGTTGGCTGCATGAGCACATTGTGAAGGGGACTAGTGCACCACAGCTAGCCAGGAGGGAGTCTGGGAAAAGTCTAGACTTGCCTAAGAGGCAAGAGACCATTGTTTCAGGGTGCGCGAGGAGAGGGGATTCAAAACACCGCCTAAACGAGCTCCAGAGATGGGCGCGGGCTGTGGCTATCAGCGCGGACCCCAGAGACGGGCATGAGATGCTAAGGCTGCTGCTGCAGCCACCAAGAAGCCTGTGTACAAGCACAGGTCACTGTCCACACCTCCCCTCCCGGGAGCCTGTGTAGCCCTCCACTGCCAGGGTCCCGTGATCCAGGGACAACTTCCCCAGGAGAACACACGGCACGCCTCAGGCTGCTGCAACGTCATGCCAGCCTCTACCGCTGCAGGCTCGCCCCACATTCCATACCCCTCCCTCCCCCTAGCCTGAGTGACCAAATCCCCCTAATCAGCTGCTACTTAACCCCATCCTGTCTAGGCAGGAACAGACGCCCTCAGGCGACCTACACACAGAGGCGGGGCCAATGCAAAGCTGAACCCCAGGAGCTGTGCAAATAAAGAAGAGAAAGGGAAATCTCTCCCAGCAGCCTCAGGAGCAGCAGATTAAATCTCCACAATCAACTTGATGTACCCTGAATCTGTGGAATACCTGAATAGACAACGAATCATCCCAAAATTGAGGCAGTGGACTTTGGGAGCAACGATATATATGTTTTTTTCCTTTTTGTCTTTTTGTGAGTGTGTATGTGTATGCTTCATTGTGTGGTTTTGTCTGTATAGCTTTGCTTTTACCATTTGTCCTACGGTTCTGTCTGTCCGTGTTTTTTTGTTTTTGTTTTTTTTACTAAGTTTTTAGTGCTTGTAATCATTGGTGGATTTGTTTTTGGTTTGGTTGCTCTCTTTTTTCTTTTTTTTTTTCTTTTTTTATTGCTTTTTAATTTTTAATAATTATTTTTTATTTTAATAACTTTATTTTATTTTTTATTTCTTTCTTTCTTTTTTTCTCCCTTTTCTTCTGAGCCGTGTGGCTGACAGGGTCTTGATGCTCCAGCTGGGTGTCAGGTCTGTGCCTCTGAGGTGGGGGAGCCGAGTTCAGGACATCGGTTCACCAGAGACCACCCGGCTCCACATAATATCAAACAGCGAAAGCTCTCCCAGAGATCTCCATCTCAGCGCTAAGACCCAGCTCCACTCAATGACCAGCAAGCGACAGTGCAGGATACCATATGACAAACAACTAGCAACACAGGAACACAACCCCACAAATTAGCAGAGAGGCTGCCTAAAATAATAATAAGGTCACAGGCATCCCAAAAGACACCACTGGGCACAGTCCTGCCCACCAGAAAGACAAGATCCAGCCTCATCCACCAGAACACAGGCACTAGTCCCCACCACCAGAAAGCCTACACAACCCACTGA